AATAACATGTAGTAAATTATGTATATTCCAAATAACAAATATATAGTAATCATACTTATTATGATGAATAGAACGAGAGTTATAATAATTAAATACAATTTAGTGATATTGAATCACCAAATTCATAGATAGATTGTAACAAACGTATGTTTGGTGTAGGAATTTGTTCTAATTAATCTTGTACTTTTTTATCTTATGCTTTATCTAGTTTGACAGCTAAAGTATAATGGTGTGAATAATTAATATAAAGCAATCAATTCGATTCAATATGTATATTAAAATTCAAAGTGTTATAAAAAATTGAGTAATTGTTCACCTTATATTATGCCATCTAATATAACAAATAATTAACTTTATTGCAAGAATATGTTTAATAGTAGTTAGAAATATAGTACAGATGGAATCAAAAATTTTGGATCATCAACCATATTGATATGGTAATAATTATTGTAGAGATTTCATCTCTTCTTCTAATAGATAGATGTGTGGGTATTCATCTAGATTGTATTGTGAAATGAAGCAGAATTATTTAGTGTATTTACAAGTGCAATAAGTTAAGAGTATTGTAGTTTAAAGATTAGATAATTGTGTGTATGTTTAAAAATATTCAAAATGTGTTAAATCATATTTAATTTAAGATTGTATAACAATTTTATTTGATACTGGTTTATCAAATATAGATAGAATAACATATTGTAAATCAAAAAGGTAATGCTTGTACTTGGAGTTCTGCTAAAAATCATTGTGAATTGGATAAAAAGGTATGTAAGGATGACAAAAGAGCTTTTTGTTAATTATAATAAGGATATAATTGTTTATGAAGAAGGAAAGCTTTAAGTAGGGATAAAATTAAAATTCATGGGAAGATTACTGCTTTGATAAAAATTAATCAAGAGAGAGAGTTTCTTGTAGCTAAATATTTCTTAAATTTACTTGAAGCAATGTTTGAAGAAAAGGATATTCAAATTGTAGGTAAAATTTGATAAAATAGTTAATTTAATGTAATGTTATTCATGTTCAATAGAATTATTAAAGCCAAAGTTGAATTCTATTTCTAATATTAAGGATAAACTACTTTAAATTACTCAATTATCCAATATAAACAGCCAATAAAAACTAATTAGAACACCATCAAATACAATATATCTCTTAAGTTCTTTATAAGAAATTTAAAGTAATATAAATTTAAGGAAGGTTACTCTATCTGATACAAAATTAAATACCCTTAATTTTTTTAATTCGAATTTAAACAAAACTAAGTTCAGGAATGTATCAATTTAATCCTGCAATTTCACCTGTACAAAAATTAAATAAGCTAAATGGGAAAATATAATTTTAACGAGAAATAAACTTTGACTGGTCACAAAAAAATTAATAACAAGCTTATTTTTCTCTAAAAATGGAAAACAATTAATATCAGGAAGTTAAGATGGTATAATTACAATTTGGTATTACTAAAGTGATGAAGATCCAATAACTTTTTAATTTCCAAATGATTAATAAGTCATTATTGCTTCATACTCTGAAGAATAAAATATTTCTGGCAGGCTTAACTACATAATCCATTTAATTAAGATGCAATGAATTTGTCTTGGAGAAATTAATTCTTCTATAAAATTATTAATATTCTACTATTATACTATCTCCTAATACATAATTTATAGTTGCAAAAAATAGAATATCTGTCTACAATATTTGAAAAACAGAAGTTTCATCATCAATACATTACACCTAAGTTTCAAATCGTATAAATTTATCAGCCATAGGTTGTTCAGAAATTAAAAATTTTTCAATTAGAGACATTTTAAGATTATTTAGAAATTGCAAAATTACCATTTATACCTTATTCATTAGCTTTTTCTAATGATGATTAAGTTCTAGCTGCAGGAGTAGATAAAGCTAAAATTAATTTTTAGAGTTTAATGAATATCATGAATATTGAGTAACTTTTTTCTTTTAAAAGTAAAAGATAATGTCAAAAAACTGTTGTATTTTTATGATCATAAATAATTGATTTCCAGAACATTAAATACAATTTATCTATATGAAACAACAAATGAATATTCTGCTTTAGAAACTAGTGAAAAAATAATCCATGAAGAATTTGCCAAAGGCTATGATTTTGAACTTATAAAAAGTACTAATTATATTGTTATATGTACTTCTTATGGAACTTTAATAAAATAATCGAGAAATAT